TTTTTTTTTTTTTTTTTTTTTTTTTTTTTTTTTTTTTTTATGATATGGACTATTTTTCTCTTCCTACCTGCTTATTACACCATGCCTGAGTAACTGAAGTGCTTAGGTTAGAACTCTCCTTAAGTCAAATAAGCTGATACATGGTGAGTTTGTGTGTTTTCTCTTTCTAACCTTTGATACATTACTGAGTATCATTGCAGGATGTTTTTGGCTTAACCCATTGTCTTTACTTCAGATGGGTGTGTAAGTGGATGTCTTTTGTCCTTTGTGTGACAGATGTGATTTGTGCTAAAGAATAATTGATCAAATCATTCAAATTGGCAAAGATCAAATCCTTCATGTGGCAAAAGTTACTGCATTTCGTTTTGGCTTCACTCATGGAAAGGAAGAAAGGAAAAAGAAAATTCTCACACTTGCAGAAGTAAGCGTGGTTGTGTAATCCCAGAGGTGATTGCACTTGCCAAGGAACGGGGCTGGCTCTGAGACTTCATTATGATGATTATTTTTCAATTTGTGCAACTAAGCACGGTCTCATTCTCACTGAGCAATTCTACTTCACAAAAAGAGTCTCTTCTCAAAGGAGTCTGACTGCCTGAGCAATCTCTAGTCAAACATCCAGAGCTCCTATTTTATTATATCCCATCCGTCACTAGAGATCGTCACCTTTTGGGCACCCTCTTAAGTCAAGAAATGTGTTAATAATTGCAAGCAAGTTCTCAGCTTTCTTAATATGACACTTAGGGGTTTTATTGCTGCTTTTAAAATCAGGATGCAGAAGTCACACTTTAAAAAAAAAAAAATCCGAATAACTGGCCATATGTTTTAAAATGCAACTAAGACTGCCTGCTAGTAGGTGTTCTGTCAGCTTCAGCTGAAAGACAACAATTAAGCTTTGGTACGTAATTAGCCGGCATTTTTTTTTTCCCCTTTCAAGATGCACGAGAGACTGAAATGTGTTGCATTACGTTGTCAGCTGATGAAAAGCACACAGCAGTTCTCATCAATGAAATAGTGACCAGGATTTCAAATATATCATTTTGTTCAGTTATTTCAGAATGGTAGGCAACATTTTGCCAAAATGAAAGTCTAACTTTTGTAATATATGCAGCCTTCTTGAGATGCATCAACATTCAGCTCTATTGGTACGCAGATTAAAGAAACTGAACGCTTATTCATCAGACCAAACCACTTACTGCAACTAGAAGGCGCTCTCAGTGGATTTCATGGATTGCATATATAGTATTTGTGTATGATGGAGTAAAGGTTTCCAAACGTACGAATATGCAATGTACCTTTTGTGTTTAAGAAATGTCTTGAGAGTCTTAATTTATACATACTTTGGGATAATAAACCCTGCAAGTTTAGTCTCCTCTAGGGAATTCTGGAATGGACTGAACCAATTTTAAGGCTGATATGATGATAGCAACCAAAATCAGAATATTTGAGCCTTTGGACTTTTTTTTTTTTTCCCTTCACATTTTCTAGTATTTATTTCATCAAAGCTTATGCCTTGCAATAAAGAGTAAGACGGAGCAGAAACAGATTTGGAAGGAAGTATAGAAGAAAATTAAAGGTGAAAAAATGGCATCTTGTGCCAACATCATGCAATTTAATAACATTGTATTTTTTTTGGTGAAACTTAACTAATTTTGATAACTTCTCTTGTTCTGCCCCATCACTTTTTATACCTATCTCAGGATTGTGCAAGGGCTTCAGAGAAGCAGATTGGCCATGTTTGCAGTCCATAAGAGCTGCTGTTGGAGCTATTTGAGCTAGCCAGAAACAAGGAATGGTTTTCTTACCCCCTGTAGCCTCATTACGCAGAGTAGGCAACTCACAGTGAGCCTCTTCCAAAATGCCTTCTTGCCCCAAGCTTCAGTTTCCATCCATTTATCCTAATTTCTAGTAGTTTGTACCATATTAAAGACCTAACTAAGTTGGGTATCTGATGAAGGCTTACAGAAGAACTGTGTTCTGTACTAAGCCCTTACAAAAGTGCTTTAGCTAATTGTCCTTATATCTATGTTGATTGGAAGGCATAACAATAGGAATAACGATCATCCATATTTTCTAAATGCCTATTAATAAATTTTTTATATAAACTAATCAATCTCCTTATGATAGGAGATTTCCTAAAACAAGTCTTGGAATAGACCCTTAAGAATTTTAATTCCCTTTCCTTTGCAGCTTCAACCTACACACAAGCTTTTCTGACCAAAAAGCAACTTAGAAAATCTATTCAACAGAGCATTTGTAAAAGCTACTTGGGGCTCTACCATGTGTGGCATTTAAATTGTTGCAAGTTTTATTTTTTGTATGATTGTATTCTGCAAGCATTTTATTTGGTAAAAATTATTATTTTTTTGAAGCTTTTGCACAAAAATTTGGATTGGAATATTTTGTGCATGTTTCACTGAAAATAACTAAATGATTTTTAGGAATCTGTAATGGTTTGCTTTTGAAAACTTGTGCTTTTTAAATATTTTGGTGTTCTTGGGTTTTTTTTAAAGGAACTTAATTGTTTTCAAATAAAGTGATCCTTGATACTGTGGAAAGACTGAGAAAATACTTAGCCTGTGTGCTGTGTTGGGATAAAATTCTGAAGAAGATACAGTTCTTGGGGGAGGGTGGGTAACCCAACAACAAAACCAATTTGAAGGGTCTTGATAGACTGTAAAAATCTGATTTTTTTCATGCTCATCATTCATTTTTGGGATATGCTAGAACAGTATCACTGTTCACATACATTATTTGCTATTTTTGTTGTGGTAGAAGAGAGCTACTATAATGACAGAGTAAAGGTACCTACAGTTTAAACAATGCAGGAATTGGATTCCCATGCTTTTACAACCTTATGCGTATTAGAATACTATGAAGAAGCCCAGAATAGATCTGAATTTCTGAGATACTTCAACCCTGTAAAATAATGACAGATCACGTGTAATTTGTGACAGATGAACCCAGGATGCAAAGGAAGCAACTAAGTTTGGAAAGAAAGGTAAGAGATTTCGAGATAAATGAGAGTTTACTGAGAAAATTTACATGAGAATGAAAATGCTCTATGAGATTGCTTGTCTGACTAGGCTTAGCCCTCATCTATTCCCAAGTGAGGCAATATTTATGTAGTTTTAACTGATGATCTGACATACTGCTTCTGAGAAGCAAAAAAAAAAAAATAATTAAAATGCTTGATGCTGTTTCCACATTGTCAATAGAAGTGTCTAATGATCAAAAGTTTTAATCTTGACTTTACAAGTTGCATGTCTGTTTTTTCTTTAAGGGTGTGAGTGTACACTAAAATCTGTCCCTCAGGGTGTTTAGGGGTTGTTAGCATTCACTGTGTGTATTTTCATAGTACTTGTAGATTGCCATAGTATTTAATGTACATTAGTAAAAGATTAGACAAGGCTGTGATCTGACTCATCACAACTGGATGCTGTCGTAACATTGCAATGGATTGATGTATGAAACTGAAGTAATATAATGCCATAGAATGTTCCATTATTTAATAGTCCTTTAAAAATGTAGGTATTTTAAAAGAACCAAGTGTTATTTAGAAGTCAGAAACGTGACTAGAGATCTAAGTAAACATGCTAAATTGCTTCTTGGCACTCGAATAAATAAACCAGTAAGGCCACTAAAGCCACATGAGTCATATAGCTATAATGAATTTACTTGAAACTTGGGAAAACAGGGATTTGTTTTCTCAGGACCACAGATTTAGTCTCTCAGAGACCTCCCTGGTTAAGAAATTGAATGCCAAAGGGAAAAAAAAAATCCCACGTAATATTCTAAACAATATTTGACTGAACCCATGTATTGGTGTAATTACTTCTAGAATGAACTACAATCATCATCCCAAGCAGTGATGCAGACTGCATATGGTGAGAGTTCAACCATTTAGAAATAGCATTGCTTAAACAAGGCATTTGTCACTGAAAAAGTGTAAGAGATGATTATTAGGACTTTAGCGGTTTTATTTTAAAATGTGCATGGGGGGATCATCCTGATTCTT